ACGAAAAAACCCAGCAGCCACGTGACTCCGAGCAACGGGAGCAAGGCCACGATACTTCTGATACCCTTCCTAATGAGAAACAATTGGAAGAGATAGTTCATCCACGCTGAAATTACGAAGTAAATGTTTGCGAAATGGAGGAACATAGTTCTTAGTTCATGCAAATAGTTTTCCTTACTTTGTAGCTTGCATATGATCATTGCCGTATCTAGTAGATATTTTTCCAAATATGACGCGAAGCAGGATTGCAAATAACACAGTATTTGCCTGCAAGAAAAACCAAGATACATAAATGGTCTTCTCCGATAGTCACTGGAAATAAAGATCAATTGAATTAAAAAGACATCAAACCATTAGAATCCCTAATATGGGTCCTTTGTAAATCCAAACACTTCCGTTGATCCAACATCTGTGGGAGAAAAAATTGCCTATTAGAGTGGATGCAATCAAGTTTCTCTGGTTTAAAACGTTGTGCGTCATAACCAAATGATCTTCATCGAATAAGCTGCGTTGGGCATAGAGTGAAAGAGTTTGCTATTATTCCCCGGTGTTTCACTAGAAGTTCTTATTTTACTCAAATCAAATTATGAAGATTAATTGAACCAAGAATATGGGTACAACGGTAGTTCACGGAATTAATCTAAGGCTAAACTTTCAACCTACCTTAGAGTATTTTGACGGCCTATTTTTGTACCCAGAAAACGAAAATGGAGCTTGTGTTGGAACGTAGAAACTTTTCAACAAAAATACCTGCGTCGTTCATTTTTAGCTGTGAGTTGAAGAGCTCCACATGATACATCTGTATACGAAGCCTTCCTCATGTCAAATGTGGACGGACTGATAGCAGCCACGAACCCCATGAGAACAATAGGAATTCCTTAAAAAGAGGAGGACAGGATATAATGACAATTGAGGCTTGTATATTTCTCCTTCTCCTCAGTACACTCAGTAAAGTAATTAAGGTTTCTTGTCTTGTTTAGGCTGACAACAAAAAGGGTCGAACGAGCTTCTGCAGCTGTGCCTCAGAAATAGTTCAAATTACTGAACTAGATTGGAAATGAACTGGATATTTACCCCAGCCCATGGCCACATATGCCACATATTGCTTCTTCACTGAAAACACTTTAACCAGCTTGATGTAAAGATTTATTCCTTCCACAAGCATCCATGTAAATATTGCAGTGTGGAAAAAATACTGAATGGCCGTGAGCGCGGAACACAAAGCCTAAATAAACCAAAAATTGAAAAAATTCGTAGTTAGGTAGAAAATATCATTTCATTCTGAACCATCTTACATCCAGTACAAGTTTAAAATGCTATACTTTTTCTCTGAAGATTTGCTCACCGCATGTTTTTCTCTTGTATCAAACAAAGTCTTATCCATAATATACACAAGATGTCCAAGTGCCAGAGACAATAGGAGACTCTTGTGTATAAACAACCTCTCTGAACTCTTTAACCTAAAGAATGAACTCAAACATTTTAGATTTGAAAGTAATGTCCTAGCTATAAATTTAAGAATATTATGCCCTCGTCCGCATATAATTCCTTTATCATTTCTATAATCCCCATAAATTGATGCATTGTAAGTTCATGTACATGTAACATTATTCCTGAGAATGTTAACCAATCAGACGTATTTCGATAGAGAATCATAAAAGAAGAACCACAGTAATCACAATGGCCAATCTGGACAATCGGAAATATCATAAGGAGCTGATGCTTAGGGCCAGGGTTAGAATTCAAACTGATAAGAAGCAAACCGTCGGAAACTGGAAATACATGGATAACTGAGACGTAACTGGTTTTAGTTTTGACTCTGATTAGTTGAGAAAATGGCACGATTTTCTGAACCAAACTCTGAGCAAAGTAAAGTTAAACCAAAGCAATCCGGATTTCTCTAAAAAGCAACAATGGCAGAAGTGCTAAGAATAATAATTGATGAGAGTACTAATTTATACAATCAATCCCTCAGAAAAAGAAAAAACTTACTTTAACGCCGTCAATAGTATTAGGGCCAAAAGCACTGCTGCCGTAGAAATACACATTAGCACTAGTTCCATGTTAGTTTGGATTTCTATGTGCCTTTGATATTCATTAGATATCCGTTTGTTATAAACGACGGCCCCGATCTCCTAAGATAAAATAAGAATATAAGAAAATGATCAATTTTTCACTATACCAGAAATAAAGACAAAGAGTTACTTAAATTAACCCCCCTCCTAGTCACTTCGCACCTTCTTTCTCTAAAAAAAATCCATGCAAGGCGCAACAATTTTTCTTCTCTAACATAAACTAAGTTTTAAACCAGCTGAGAAAAATCACATTACCTCATCAAACGTTAGATTCGTGCAGTTGTTAGCCCGCAGCAGATGGCGTATTTCCTCATCTGTAAGCTCGTTATTCTCACGAAAAAGAAAGACAACAATGATAAAAGACAGGATCAACTGGCAAATTGTTACTTTTTTTACCTCCTAAGCGATAAAATCGTTTAAGCTATAAAGATTTATACATTTGTGGAGCCGTATATTCTGGAGTTTCCCCCATGCAAACATCTACAAAGTTAGGAATCTGAGCATTTTTGAGACTGTCTCTTATGGTAAGTAACCAACATAAAGCTAGATTTGCAAGATCCATTAGGCTAATAGTGTTCGCCAGCTTAAAGTTAAACACTTTTGAATGACCTACCACATTTTCAATGGAAGCGCCGGTGGTATTAGCTCTTGTTCCATTTGCTGTTGTCACGTTACCAGTGGTGTTGCTTTTATCGACAGGTACGGAGATAGGTTTTTCTACCTCTCTTGGTAAGAGCTTAGCGGTGTTTAACTGAAGAGATAGCTCTTGTCTCATTATAATGGGGTGAAGATCTGGCACGATTATCCGGAAGTTATCCACGATATGCGCCTCGCTACTGTAAAATTACGATCAAGATACAATGACTAAGAGACTGGCCAGAAATGCCCTCCAGAAAAAGTAAACTTCTTAAGTTTAATGCCACGTATGCGCCTCACTGTTACTTTAATTTCCGAACGTGTGAACGATCACACGCTGAATGCAATGTCCGCTGAGCAAAATTAGTGACGCAAAATTTATAAGCTCCAGATTACAGGTTGTCCGTAAGTGGAAATGATCTGAAGATAAGTTTTGAGGTATCACCTTAAGAATAAAGTTCATGTAAGGAAGTCAGTCTCTCAGATTGATATCATCTTTCTACGTTAGAAGAAGCTTCATAGTTTTAGCTGCTTTTTCTCAACTTAAGTTTGATTTAAATCATTTCAAGGCTACTGTTAGAGGTAAAGAACTGGAAATATTACCCACTTTCTCAACTTTGAAAATATTGAAGTTTGACTTATATGTTTGACATTAAAACCGGCCTAAATTTTTTAGATTACTTTCATTGTTCATTTACTCAGGGCGATAATTCAACCCAGCTCAGTCAACCAAATTTGACTTCATTTGGGACCATCCTAGGTAAAGAGGAAGAGCTCAGGAAAATTTATCTTTGGACACTTTCAAAACCACATCTCGTTGCCAATCGACGCATTGAGCACAAAATCTACAGTTGTATGTCTCAGCGAAGAATATGCGGTTAGAGAATACGACTTGTGCTCATACGTCGGATATTTTAAAAAATAACGGTATTTTCATAAAGAAAGACGTTTTACCGTCTTGTCACGAGCGTGGGACAAGAAAAATCCAAAGGAATCGAGTGTCAGGCCTTCGGTTTCTGCGCCTTGTCGCTCAACCTCTGAGCCAGTATTATCAATTCAGTTGATAATACTAAACTACATATGTTCATATGTGACACACGTCCCGTATCCTGCTGAAATCAGCAATTTCGAAAGAGGCATGGACACTTACCCAATATCCTTGACTGGATAAAATCCCTTCTGGCCATACTCGAAGGCGTCAGTATTGTTAGGAGCCTGACGTAGAAACTCTAATGCTCTATTGATATGAAAGTTTCGATCATGAGCCTATGGGAAACAAATAGACATTAGACTTAAACAAACAAAATTTACATTTGTGCAATAGAACCAAATTTTATACTTTAAATGAATTAAGGAAAGTTATTTATCACTACGTTTGATAACAGGCATTATTTTTGCAAGCGAGTGCTCAGTATTTTCTTAGCGAAAGTTATGGCCGCCATCATTGATTTTAGTGCCTTAAGATACCTGTACTGTACTATACGCTTGGTGATTGGCTCGGAAAACTCACACCACCCTCTCGGCCAATCAGATTTAATACTGAAACCAACCATGTTTTTCCAAAGTGTACTTCACTCGTTAGCATTGATATTTTCTTGGATGTGGTTTCACGATGTTTTATCGAAAACGCTTTGAATATTACTCATGAATAAAAACACAAGCTTATGTTTTCATTGGCATGTCGCATTGCTGAAAACAGAAATGCTTTGAATTAATCGGAACCTGTCTTCAACCTACGAACAACAACAACAGCAATTTCAATCACGAGTTTCGTCTCTAACGTTCAATCTTTCCTCTGATCCAATGTCACAGTAACTGTTGCTTACCAATTTCGGTTTAAGGCAAAATGACGACTTTTGCCCGTAAATCGGAGATGATAGCAGAGTTTGGATGAAATTCTGAAATCAGAACCAAATGATTAATATCTCCACATACTCCTACGTAAAATTATATTGAAAGTATGATTTCATATGACGTCACGGTGACAATATTCATTTACCAAAACAATCAAATGGTGGCCTTATTAGTAGGATTTAAATTTTTAACTTGTGCTGACATACTCCTTTGTACCAATTTTTTAACTAAATTAATCTAATAACTGCGAGACTCTGAGATTTTTTTAAATCTTTACAATCTCCTCGATGACAATTAAAATAACTCATAATACCAATCAACTTTTGAGCTATTTTGGATTTAAAACTTTTAAACTTGCTCCTGAGTACAATAATTTCTCGTAATTTCGTATCCTCTTGTAGTTCGTACCTTACAGTATTGCAGTGCTTTATCAGCATTTTGCAGAGTAAGTGGTGTAAGTAACCGCGTTACATTGTAAAACAAATCTTTGAACAGATCATGAAACAACCGGATATTCATGAAATCCCCGTTCTCTGCGGCGGTAGCCAGATCGTTTGACACATTCAGGAAGTTAGTATCGTTGAGATTTG